ACCGCAAGAGCCATCGAAGAATCAAACAGAGTTGAGAGAACGAAAGCTTACCCGGTCCGTGAAGCGCAAAGGAAATGGCGGGAGCATGAGAGTGTGAAGTATTCAGATCGCGATGGATATATCTCTGAATCAGACCTTCCTTTTTATTTTTTATTCTTTATTTTTTTTTCAATTATTTCCCTTTTTGAGAGACCCAAAAAAAAGTGGGAAGGAATTTATTTTTTTAAATAGGAAAAATATGGAATAACATAAGAATTAAGAAAGAAAGATTTTAGAGGTTTGACCAAATTTTGACTCCTGATCCACCGTTGCGTTTGCAAACTCAGGTATTGAATTGACGTGGCGATATTTTACTGGTGGGTGACCCCTCGATACGGGGATTCTATCATCGCCCTATGCCCCGTCCAATGCTGAGTGGGAATTCCATTTTGTCGGGGATTCATAGTTCTAGCTTTAAATTCAAATTTTACTTAAATTGTATTTTGTTTATTTTTTAAATTTTAATTATATTTCGTTGTTTAAACCTTTTAAGTAATAATTTATATATTTATATTAAAATTATATTTTTTAATATTTCATTACCTAAACGTAAACAAACATCACATCCTATGTGTTTAACTTATAATAGCAAATAAATAAACAATCATTCAAAAAAAAATGTAAATTACTATAAATTAACACCGAATATAATCATGAAATGTATATAATAGCTAAATCTTTTACAATAAAAGTACGTTTTCTTTTTTAATACAGGCGAGCATCAAAACCGTTAATTCTATTATATTTTGGTATCAAAGAAACCCGTGAAATATTAAATTTGAAGCAAAAATCTCAACATATAAACGAAAAAAAAATGAGTGGATAACTATATTCTGTAATGTCGTTAGAATTTATGTATAACTACAAATTTTAAAAATTAACAAATGAAATATCAATAGAATAGCTAAAATATATTCTTGATCGAAGCTATCAATTTATGTCTTTCGGTTTCGAAAAGAGGGAAGGGTGTGAAGCAGCTCAACTGTAAAGGAGTTATCATAACTGAGTTAGGTAGCGAAGAAGAAAATTAAAGAAAAACTCACAAGAACGCAACCAAGATCGCACAACTCGTGAACTTACGGGTCTCACTACTTACTACGCTCTAGAACCTTCGTCATTAATAATGAAACTTTTATCGACTAATCAAAATAACCGAGGCGGAGTTGGAGGTCTCAACACGATCCTTAATTTACAACTAAAGTTACAAAGATTGTAGGAGTACAGTATAACCACTAGATATACGGTTTAACAAATATGTTTCTTAGTATATCACTCGAATATCTAATAGTAACGTTATTCGATGCGACTACCGTGTTTAGAATTTGAACTCTTGTTTCAGATCCATGTTAAGCATGCAAACCAAAGGCAACCTTCCACACACTGCCAATGAAAAAATGAAATCTATGTGGGAATGGATAGCACATTCATTCTAAGTTTCTTAATCCCATTGAGTAATTCAAAGAACACAAATGATAATGCACATGGCAATGACTTCTAAAGCATTAAAGAAAGCTAACCGTGGAGGCATTTGGTAGATGAAGAACGAAGATCAGGCAGATTTAGGAGCAGATCGATCATAAGGCAGGCGTTGATCAGGAACCCCGTCTTCACCTCGCTTATCTTCGAACCATTTCACTATTCTTTTGCGAGGCAGATTTGTCACTTGGACAATGCTACTAATCATTGCGTTCTGTATTGGGTGTTCAAAAGAAGAAAAAAGTTAGGTAACAAATGCACAATAATATGTCGCTCGATGTATTAATCCGAGTAAAGCTCAGTGGATAAGACACGACCTATACCATCTTAACGATCGGTAATTTGGTTCCCAATCTCACCCCACCCCCACAATTGCTGGACCAAGTAGACTGCAAAGTTTTCACTACTGCTGAACTCTACCCTCATAACGTATGGTTTTGTAAGTTTATGAGGTTTTTTAATCGAAGTAGACGATACAGAACACGTCGTGAGTTTAAGTGAGGTAGGAAAAATTCATGAGCGCAGACAAAATGAATAAGTTTAATGAGAAGGCTAAGGGTCTTCAAGCTAAGGCTAGGTGAGGCATTTGTCCTAGGACCCAAGATCATGATCTTGAACATGTAGAACATTGGTATTCCTAAGAGATGGTCGGTCCTCGAGATGCCATCGAGTTGATGGGAATGGCCCTAGCTTATCATAGTTGTATTTACAGAAGGGATTTAGGATTTCGGACCTATTCAGGATGACTCTCTAATTGCTGCAGGCCCATATCAAAGATACAAATGTAAACAATGATTCTCAGGCATTTTGAGTATCAAACTTATCTAGCCTCTATGGATATTTCGTTCCTAAACGTCTCATTCGATGATATTTGTTAATCATGTTCATTCAACAACACTTTTTAAAGGAAATGTGAGGAGCTCTACAAATAGATTTATCTCTAGATTCAAAATTCCTTTTTCCTTTTCCACCGAAAACTGGCACAGAATGTAAAGATTTCATCAACTTATTTTGATACACAAACTGATGAAGGGTACTATACTTACAGTGGGTCGCTTTGTTCTTCTATACACTCTCTCAAGAGTTCCAACCTGAACCTTTTTCAGCCTCTTTTGAGCAGCCCAGCTCTGTTGCATGACATGAACAGGCACCTTCACCTCTTCTGCCTCTTCTGCAGTATCTACTTCTACGGGTTCTTCTTCTTCTTCTTCACGAGTAGCTTGTAATGTTCTAGTTTCTGGATTTGATGGTGTGGGTGGGTCTGGTAGAGAAGCACTCAACATCAGAAGACGAGGCGGTGGTTCGCGAAGCAAGTCAAGAACGATGGCCCTATCAAGACAAAGCTCAGCAGCAAGACTCTTGATCTGCAAAGTAAAGAATGCATTAGCCTTCAGCAAGATAATCTTGAAGAGTTTCAGCAAGATAATCTTGCATTAGCCTTCAGCAGTGCAAGACTCTCTATGTAGTTTCTCCCACTCGCTCCCTATTTGCCCCTCTTGCTCTAGCTCCCAATTGGCCTCTCTTGCTCTCGTTCCCTATTTTCCCTCTCGCTCACGCTCCCAATTTGACGCTACAAGATTTGGCATGCTCAAATCTCATTTGAGTATCAGTTTTTCCAGCTTCCAAACCCATTTCTTAATCAATCACAACGAAATCCACAGGTGACTGATATTGCATACAAGACTCGACGGTAGAAAAACTCACGCTAGTTTTACGGCGACCTTTCTTCAAAGCCATGGCTAGTCGTCGAAGTTGCCAGTTCTTGAGTTTTACGGGCATTTCCTCTTCTTCGGTATCCACGAGATCTTCTTCTGCTTCTTCTTCTTCGTTTTCTTCTTCTTCTTCTTCTTCTTCTTCTTCATCAATATCGATGCCAAGTGCTAACCCTAACTCGCGCTCTAGTTTGGCAAGGTCCTCTTCGCTAAGTTCATCCTCTTCGCCATCATCATCATCATCATCCAGGGTAAGCTTATCATTTTTTAGATCTTCTTCTAGTTGACTAAACAACAACTCAAGAGCATCCTCTTCTTCATCCGCCTCATCCCTAGTTTTTTTCGGAAAAGAATTTCTCTGCAAAAATGAGCAGAGTACCAAATTGAAAAGTTTCGGATAAGCTAAATTCCACGCACATGCGTTTGCAACACAAACAATCTATGTATTACCAAAATGAGATCACCGTGCGTTCTAGGACTCTACCTTCTTTTTCTTCGAAGACGATGAAGACGGACCGACTGATGAATTCTGGTTCCGACGGCGAGCAAATGTAATCGATAGAGTGTGACGAACCGGAGGAAGACGCAGTAGACTAAGGTTGGATGGAAACTGCCGGCGAAAGAAGAAGCTAACCCTACCAGAAATCGACGGCGAGCCTAGAAGTGCTTCCGGTGCCTTCACCGGCGCTGAAAGAGCCATCAGTTGCTTATGTCGACAGACACTATTCGACCAAATCAGGCGGCAAGATGATAAACCTTCGGACTCTCTTTAAAACGACACAGTTTTACAGTACGCACGCACAGTATTTATTTATTTATTATTATTATTTTTAGACAAACATTTTAACATTTTTTATAGACTAAATTATCAAAATACTTCTAGATTTTATATTTTATTTTTAACATTTTTTTATATTTTATTTTTAACATTTTTTATGGACTAAATTATCAAAATACTTCTAGATTTTATATTTTGTTTAAAAATAAATAAACAAACTTTCAAAACTTTCAAAATAAAAAAAATGTATCTATTAAATAAAAAATGTCCAATTTATCATTTAATATAATAATAGCTTATTTTAATATTTTAATATTATTTTGCTCAAGAACTTTGATACTCATTCTATTTTGGACGTAGGTTATACTATCCAAAAATTTTAGGCAACTTGAAACAATCAAATGCCTCATTTTGACCCGTTTGTTGGTTGATGGATGAGCCAGTAGATCCAACAAAGAGGCCCCGAGATTTTATAGCGTTGGGACTCTTATAGTGGATACTAGGTTAGAAGGTGGAATAAGGAAAAAGAACGACAAAAGTCAGTTTGAGGGTTTCGGGTAGGAATCATGTTAGTCAGGAGTAAGCTAACACCAATCGATCTCATCTCAATAGCTCCGGTATCTAACTTCCCAAATCAATCTAATACCCGAGCTCACATATGCGAAAAACGTACTCAGTGTTTCATAACCTATCTGCTCTTGAGCTTCCTGAGTTTAGAAACACTATCTACGTTTGAGCTTTTCTCCGAGTTTAGAAACACTATCTACGTTTGAGCTTTTCTCCGAGTTTAGAAACACTATCTACGTTTGAGCTTTTCGAGTTTAGTAGTGATCTAAACCTGGTTTGTTGGCAAGGAAGAAATCTACTCGATGTCGTCGTCGTCGAAGAAATTCTACTTGCTTTCCAATGTCATCACTATAGGCATGAAAATAGGATTAAAAACCCAAAACAAAACAAGACTTCTATATTCTGTAACAACAGAACAGACTAAACAATGAACCAACAAAAGGAGTAATTCTCACATTAATTCCAATGGAGAAGATGACAAAATAAGTTTTCACATTTATTATGTATCATATTAATGACTTGAAACAAGCTTTGGTAACGAAATACAGAACCTGGAAAACAAACAATTGATGGAGAGATGTGGAAGAAACTGTCTTTTAAACATCATCATTTACTCCATCCAAAAAATAACACTACCAAGACCAGACATAGCTTAAGGAATGGTGCGCTGGTAAACAGGCAATGCTCCCAATGCCTCACGTTCTGCTCTCTCCTTCTTTACCTGCAAAACAAAACAAAAAATGGATCTTTAGCTTCATGATGAACTCTGCTTTCACCCATTTAATAAACACCCATACCAGACGAAATTACACTCTAGTAGTCATCAGACGAAATTAGGCCGAATAAAATAGGTCAACAGCAAGAAGAAAGCAGCAGTAGTCTCGAGAAGTATTCAATAAATCGGAGAAATCTGCAAACGATGCAGCAGAACATGTTGCGCAACTTTCTACTACTACATCGATTAGATTTACGCAAAATTTCATTCATCCAAAGCGAGACTAATTTGCACATCAAGTAGAAGAAACAAGGTAGACTAATTTGCACTGGTCATCGAATAATCACGCTCTGTCTTTTTTTTGAAGTCCCGATCTTCCCACCATCCTCGTTGGATAATGAAAATTAAAGAATCCAGTCTAAAACCAAAACTTTTAATTACCTACACAAATTTTACTTCGTATGTACGAGGATTATTTCACTCAAGTAATGTCACAATCAGAACAGAAAAAGAATTCAACCACAAACAAGGTCCTACACAGCTCACGTCTTTGCTTCAAAAGAAAACACATATAGGATTTATACATATTACCCAGAAGCTAATATTTATCTAGATCATGAAACCCGAAATCATGAAAAGGGTCAACTGAGGACAGAACAAGAAACCTCAATTGGAAAATTAGATAAAATTTGATGTTATCTAAACTGACAGATTGTAAATAATTTCAAAACCAACAAGTCCCAAATACATGCATAAGATTCAAACTCAAGAACCATGACTGACATTACAATATAGAGCAACTTCCTTATTTCTATGAACAGAGCCATAAGCGAAAGATATGAAATAATGGAAGACAAAGACTTACAAGTGCCAGCATTTCCTGGAGATAGCTCCTGAATGGTGTTTGCATGGCCTGCAAGAAGGTTAAAAAATTCAAATTAACAACCATCTAAATTTGATTTAGATTTTAGCATGCTGTACTTAGTAGGGGAAAAAGATTAAACCCAATCCAATATAGTTAAAAGTTAATTCCCTATGACCATGAAAAATCATAAGAACTTAAACCATCAAGCTCACTAATAGATCCCAATTCACAAACAGTTGGAGCCTGAATCCTGAAATAGAACTCCGTGATACCACGTCCTCCTTCCCCGTTCATAGTAAAACAAATTCACAAACAAACTGCAGTATTTAGGTATTCGGTAATGATAAACATCCAACAAATTTCTGTTTTTCGGCGAGGCTCTAACTGATCTAGTAGGTCATAGTAGAAGCGAACCTGGAGATCATCAGGAAGGTACTTATGCTTCATGGAAAGGTCCATGGCCCGCTTCAGACGCTGATTGCGCGCATCAACAATCTCCCTCGGGAGCCGATTCAAAGCCTCCTTCACATCAATATCGTAGTACGGATCATACAGATCGTCGTATCGAAGACCTAAAATATTAATACCACACAAAATCAATCTCCACAGAACAAAATTCAAAATCAACACCGCAGAAAAAATCAAATACACAACAAATAATTAGGGTTTCTTTTACCATAATTACGGAGGCGTTGGGTGAGCGCTTTCATGTGTTGACGAGCGAACCAGTTCTTCTTTGGGTCGATGAACGACTGCAAGAAGGACGCCATTTCGATCTCTCTCTCTCTCTCTCTGTCTTCCTCCGCAAAAAATTTACTCTTGATTTTCTCAGTGCCCACTTAGGCTTCGCCTCTCTCCGGTTTACTTGTGAAATTTTGACGACGGAAAACGAGATTAGAATATTCAAACGGGTGGGCCCATAGGTATCCGGCCCAATACATGGCCCACTGTCTTATTGGGCCTGATGTCCAAAATAAATATTGTTGAGCCCAAACTTGCCCCAACAATTTGGTTAAGGACAACAAAAGTTGGGGACAAAATGACCTATCTACCCTTTCCTCTTCTTCATTTAACCGATGTGCGAGTCGGGAATAAACCATCAATATTTAGAACGATAATAAAAACCCGATCCACTTAACAACATTCAGACCGACCCATATTTAACATAAAACCAACATATTTTGAAAAAATAAAAAACGGGGATGAAGAGATTAACCTTGGTCACCCGACTCTTTGCCATAATTAACCCTAGAGTTTGCTTGTATTTGGCCGAGTCACAATTTTATGTGCCCAAAAGATAAACCGAAATACACTATTCAAGAGAGAATGAGTAGATCTATATTCCTAAATATATCAAAGAATCGAGAATTTTTAAGTACATTTTTTAAATTCTCAATTTTACCCTTTTATGGAGACTCTCATCCCGTTGATAGAGTTTGCAACTGACTAAGTTAGATATAAAGCCTAAGAATGGTTAGACGAACACGACTCTCCACAAGGGTGCCTCCCCTTAATCGAGGCTCGACTCCTTTGGAGTCTTAGTCATTTTTTTACCGTCTTCTTTTCTTTTGGAGTCCTTTGTTCGACATTTTGAGGATTTACCAATCTATTGACACGACTCCCTAAATTAGCCGATGTGGGACTTACATCATCTAACACCTCCCCTCAAACAAAGTACGCCTCCCATACTCCTTTTCATTTGAAGTCGAGGCTCGACTCCTTTGGAGTCTTAGTCATTTCTTGACTGCCTTCGAGGAGGCTTAACTCCTTTTCTTTTGGAGTCCTTTATTCGACATCTTGAGGATTTACCAATGTATTGGCACGACTAAATTTAGGGCATGGTTCTGATACCATGTTAGACGAACACGACACTTTGACATCATCCAACAAGACACATGATCATTTCCTAAATTAGTCGATGTGGAACTTACATCATCCAACAAGAATGACATGTTCGTATATTTAAATACGTCACAATAATTTTACGATGCATAATATTTATCTCAATAAATGTCATCCCGAACATAGCTAAAAGTAATTTGTAATGATAGAACCAATACAAATTTAGTAGACAATTTTTTTTTTTAATTTAAATAGGCGCAAAATTAAAATGAGAGAAATTTATTTTGTTAATTTATAATTTTGATTTTGAAATGAAAAAGGGAACAAATAAAAAGAAAATAGAATGGGGGCCGTATAGCAGCCTGCATGTTCAAATGCTAACGTCAAATCGAAATTGGAATGTCACTTTCATAACGTCCAACAACAACGCTTCAGGTGGTTAATAATGGAGTCCAGAACGAGAGGAGAGCCGATGGCGAGGGCTAGAGCTAGGGCTAGGGCCCCTTCCTCTTTCATCGCTCCATTTCCACTTTCCGTTTTCTTTCTCCGCCAATCCAGATTTAGCCTCAGAAACAAGCTCCAATCATTGCCATGGATATGGATTGATTAACCGTTTCCAGAGCTCTGGATTTATTAGTATTCCATCCACGTTCCTTTTGAAGGAAATTGATATTGATCTTCATAGTTGCACTCGAAGACGACGACGACGACAACGACGGCCGCCTGCCAATTCTTCTTCCAACTGAAATCCCTAAATGCGCGCGAGATTCTGCCCGCGGACGTTGAGAAGAGAGACGGAAATTTGTCGAAATTGAAATTGCAGCGAATGGTGGAGGAGAGACGGAAACTTGTTGAAATTGAAATTGCAGTGAATGGTGGAAGAGAGACGGAGATTTCTAGGAATTGAAACCGCAGCGAATGGTGGATAATGGCTGGTTTAAGGTGATGGCAATGGAAGCAGAGACTATTGAACTGAAAAAACCTGAAATCGGGACAAGGCTTAGGAATTAGGGATGGATTCGTCCTCGAGGATTTTCGTCTAAATGTCGAACTAGAAAACGAAGAAAATGGGATTATTAGGGAGATCGATGTGCGGCAGAGAGGATCAACGAGAGCTTGAGCACTTATCGAGAGACGACGGCAGCCAATACAGCCTCACGGGTGGAATCCTGCCGCCGCTTGGCGTGAATGGGCGAAATAATCGAAGAAGCAAACTCGGTCCTCATATAATCTCGCCGTTCGATTACAATTACAGGTTCTAAAATCGTCGTTTCTCCTACTTTTTCAGATTGTTGCAATTTCATTTTGATGATGATTCAGAGATTTCCTCGCATCGCAGATTTTGGGAGACGTTTCTGATTTTCTTGGTACTCTACACAGCCTGGGCATGTCCGTTTGAGTTCGGGTTTCTCCCTTCGCCCAGCGGAGTTCTGGCAATAATTGACAATATCGTAAATGGACTTTTCGCCATTGATATAGTTCTGACATTCTTCGTGGCGTATTTGGACAAAACGACTTACCTGCTGGTGGATGACCGGAAGCTGATTGCTCTACGGTATGCCAAAACCTGGTTGGTCCTCGACGTTGTGTCCAATATTCCGTCGGAGATGGCTCGCAATATTCTCCCTCCTTCCCTTCAGGTTTATGGCTACTTCAACATGCTTCGTCTATGGCGTCTTCGAAGAGTCAGCTCCATGTTCGCCAGGTAATAATAGTAATAAATAAATAAATAAAAACAGTTTATTTCATAATTATTTGAATATCTATTTTTTCAATTTTAAAACTAAATTGTTTCTGTTATATTTAAGTGGGTTTTAAAACAACTAACACAAAAATAAAAATAATAAATAATAAAATTATTTTTTTATTTTTGGAATTGGTCTAATAATTCAGATCTACGTGAAGAAAAAAAAAATGAAAACTATAATTTTAAAAAAATAATTAAAAAACATTGTCATTCTGTTACCAATTTTATGATAGCATTCGTGCAGGTTTTTATTTATTTATTATTATTATTATTTTATTTTTATTAATTAATCAAATCTTTTCCACGATTTATTAAAACTATTTTCATGGAATAATGACTAAAATTAATCATAGAGGAGTCTTGAAAAGAAAAGATCGACAAATAATTATGAAACTCATAGCTCAAAGTTATGCGTAAATCTATTATTTTTGTGAATTTCTGTAGCTTTTTGGACATCTGATGAGATAAAAATCTCACGTTCTTATATCTGTTCATTTATATACCTATACTATCTATAACATAGCTTTTTGGACATCGGATGATCTCACGTTCTTATATCTGTTCATTTATATACCCATACTATCTATAACGTTGCTTTCTTTTTCTTGTCCCCTTCAATAATGGCGGTAGGTTGGAAAAAGACAGGAACTACAACTATTTCTGGGTTCGATCTGCAAAGCTTATGTTTGTAAGTAAACTAGGATAGACATTTTTTTGTTGGTTAAATTATAAATTTAGTTTTTGATTTTTTTCAAAATTTACTTATATACTAAATGCAAAATTGAAAGTTTGATCTAATAGATAAAATAAATTTTATAACTTTTGAAGCACTTTTAAAACGACTCAATATTAGGAAGGATTCTCTTTATCTGACGAGGCCAATGTGTAGGTGTGTCTGTTCACAGTTCATTTTGCTGGCTGCTGCTTCTATCTAATTGCTTCAAACTATAAGGACCCCAAAAGAACATGGTCGACCTTATACATGGAAGACTTCCATAATGAAAGTTTGTGGGTGCGTTATGTGACTTCCATTTACTGGTCAATTGTCACAATCACCACCACTGGCTATGGCGATTTGCATCCAATCAATGATCAAGAGATGTCATTTGTCATTTGTTATCTGTTCTTCATTCTGGGGTTGCAATCTTACCTGATTGGAAATATGACAAACTTGGTCGTCCATGGCACGAGTCGAACCAGGCAATTTGTAAGTCTCAAAAGCCCTTTTTCTTTACTCCCTCAAATGCAAATAATATAGTTTTGTGTGGTTCATCTTGTTGTATGGATTATTTCAGAGAGACACCATTCAAGCTGCCTCAAATTTCGCCCAAAGAAATCAACTGCCTGGTCGGCTGCAAGAACAGATGCTAGCTCATCTGTGTTTGAAATTCAGGATTGATTCAGAGGGTTTACAACAGCAAGAGACAATTGATTCTCTTCCAAAAGCCATTAGATCCGGCATCGCACACCATCTCTTCTATTCACTCGTTGATAGTGCTTATTTGTTCAATGGGGTGTCAACCGACTTGATCTTTCAACTGGTAACTTTACACACTATTATTTCTCAACTCTAATCCATTCAGTCCTTCAGTTTCAAACAAATATGCAGCCTAGCATGACATTCTTGTTATTCAGAAAGAGCATAACAGGGTTTATACCAATGCATTGAATCTAAGTTTGAAGTAGTTCTCTAAATCTTTGACCTTTGGAAGGTGACAGAAATGAAGGCTGAGTACTTTCCTCCCAAAGAAGACATCATCTTGCAGAATGAAGCACCAACAGATTTCTATATAGTTGTCACTGGCACTGCGGTAAGAGCTATAACATCCATCCTTTAAATCTCCTACACATCCCTAAACTTCTCTTACAGTATGAAAGGACAAAAATCTAAAACACAATAAAGATTTTGAGGGTATGAATTCTAGACTTTGAAGGGTATGCATATCTGTGGGAATTTTTGCCTTGGACCAATGAAGTGACAAAGATTCTGTAAACCCAACTGCCAAACATACAGATTCATCCATAGCAATTGAAATATGGCTCTTTCTATTGTTTTTATTTGTAACCACAATGAGAAGTTTATGATCTCTTGCTTCTTCAGTTGAAGCAAACTATTTCTTCTGATGTTTGCTTCACCTTGCAGGATCTTATTGTACAAAGAAATGGAATAGAAGAGGTAATTATGGCCACAAGGTTTAACTCTTGTAACATTTTTCAGCATTAAATTTCTTTTTTTCCATGGACTGTTTCAGATCGTCGGAGAAGCAAAGACAGGAGATGTCATTGGTGAGATTGGCGTGCTTTGTTATCAACCACAACTGTTTACAGTTCGAACCAGCCGTTTGAGTCAACTGTTGCGATTGAATCGCTCTTCGTTTTTCAACTTAGTACAAGCTAGCGTTGGGGATGGGACAATAATAATGAACAATCTCCTTAAGGTCAGCAACTCTCTTCCCTGCATTCATTTCTTTCCCCCAATAAGGTAACATTTTCTTCAGATAATGATCGAACACTCCTTCGTTACAGAAATAGAAGCTATGAACAAGCTTTTATTGAGAAATATGTGTAATGCGTACATACTACTCTATAAATGCTTACTCTCAAGAGTTTCTTTCTAAGAGGAGAAACCTAATCATAAAGGTAGCTCACGTATCGATCGACTCGATCTGCTCTTAGCCTTTATGATTATTGCTTATAGAATGTCAGTAAGTTCATAAAGGCATGAGAAACTATATGGCTGCAATCTACCAAATTGAGTGAATTTGATTTCATGTGTCAAGCTAAGGCAAAAGTTTAGTTTTTGTTACCTGCGTCTTTAAACTTTATGCAGCACCTGAAGGAGGTAAAAGACCCAATGATGGAGGAAATTCTGCAAGAAACAGAACAGTCCTTGATTCGTGCTGGAATGGAAATGCCTCTCAATTTATACTTTGCGGCAAGCAGTGGCGATGACTTGTTGTTGCATCAGTTGCTAAAGCGTGGTTCAAACCCAAATGAAGTAGATGAGGGTAGCGGGAAGACAGCACTTGTAAAGCAAATCCTATATCTAGTCCTCTTGTTTATCTTGACTGCTCACTATCGACAGACATCAAGCTGTACGACTTACCTAATATTTTTCATTCACAGCATATTGCAGCTGCTAAAGGAAACGAACACTGCGTAGTTCTACTCCTAGAGTATGGGGCAGATCCGAACCGAAGAGGTATTCTTTGTAGTAGTAATTTCTACAGCTTGATGCTCAGAAGTTGGGGAAGTTAACTTGCTGTGGGCTCTTCTGTTATACAGACTTTGAAGGAAGCCTACCCTTGTGGCAAGCAATACAAGGAAATCATGAGCCTATAGTCAAGCTTCTAATAGACAATGGTGCCGATATTTCTTCAGGAGACGTCGCCCAGTTTGCATGCACCGCTGCGGAGCAAAACAACATAGATATGCTCAAATCCATCATCGAATGTGGTGGAGATGTAACTCTGCCTAGAAGCAACGGGACTACAGCTCTTCACACGGCAGTATGTGAAGGAAACAGTGAAATGGTTAAGTTCCTTTTAGAGCATGGGGCTGACATTGATAAGGCAGATGTTCATGGATGGACTCCACGAGCGTTAGCAGATCATCAAGGCCATGAAGAGATAAAAGAACTATTCTCTCTTAAGCAAGCTGTGAATAAATCATCTGTTGTCCATATTCCACAAAATCCCGAATCAAATTATCTACGGAAGTTCCAGAGCGAGTCGATCATACCGCGGTTTTCCCATGACTCCTGCATGACTCCTGTTCGAGAATCAAATTGTTCTGATATGCCTCCTAGAAGGAGAAGGAGCAATAATTATCGAAACTCGCTCGTTGGGTTCATGGAAAATACCAATAAGGGTGAGCATACATTCTAAAATCACCAATATAGACTTCAAACCATCTAGCTAAGCACAGTGAAACCAAACCTAACAAGAACACTTCTGAATACTTATTTGCTGCTCCAACTCGACTAGTAACACTTGAGATTTAACTACCTATAAGATTGGCTCTCAGTTTCCAAAGCTACGTTTTAACATATACTAACACTGGAACTTCAAATCATACAGGTGAAAGGGACGTTCTACAATCCGCATTGCTCGGTTTTAGCAATAGCCGAAGCGTGAGATCGGCTTACCAGGCAAGAGTTGTTCTCAGTTGCCCTGAGAAAGGACAAGTTATTGGAAAGCTTGTGCTTTTACCCAAAACCATCCAAGAACTAGTTGAAACTGGTTCCAAAAAATTTGGGATTTCTGCAACAATGATTTTAACTCATGAAGGAGCTGAAGTTGAGGATATAGACCTTGTCAGAGACGGTGATCACCTCATTCTTGTCGGTGACGCCAGTGCCGCCGTCCCGAGTGGCCAAGTACGGTAGAATTCAGTTCAAGACAGCCCGCCGCCGCCATCCCCAGTGGCTGCCAAGTACGGTAGAGTTCAGTTCAAGACAGTCAACCGGCTGCCTGCTAGATTGTTGAATTGTACAAATGTATACTTAGTGATTCCTTTCTCCCCCACCTTTTATTTAGAGAGTCATCAAATATTCATGATATGATTACTATTCTCCGTGGGGAGAATTTTTCCATTGCCATTTTTCGTAAGCTTATCACTAGATAACAAATTTGAGATTCAAAAGCATAAGAGGGCTGAATTCTATCCAAATTCTACGGCGAAAACAGAATAGATAGTTTGTTGGATGATGAAAGTCCTACCTCGGCTAATTTAGGGAATGATCATGAGTTTATAATCAAATAATACTCTCTCCATTGGTATGAGGTCTTTGGGGAAGCCCAAAGCAACGCCATGAGAGCTTATGCTCAAAGTGGACAATATCTTTCCATTGTGGAGAGTCGTATTCATCTAACATAGTATCGTAGTCATGTCCTAAAACTTAGTCATGCCAATAGATTGGTAAATCCTCAAATGTCGAACAAATGACTCCAAAAGAAAAGAAGTCAAGCCTCCTCGAAGGAGACTCCAAAGGAGTCGAGACTCGATTAAGGGAAGGTGTACTTTGTTTGAGGGGAGGTGTTGAATGATGAAAGTCCCACGTGGCTAATTTAGGGTATGAGGCCTTTTGGGGAAGCCCAAAGCAAAGCCACGAGAGCTTATGCTCAAAGTGAACAGTATTATACCAATGTGGAGAGTCGTATTCATCTAACATAGTCTCCTAGTACTTCTATGATCTAAGCTTAAACTTCACACACATGTAAAGAAATGTAAACTCGAGTTAAGAATAATCGAATTAGGGCTTCTAACCTAATTAGATTCTTCGAGGTAAGAAGCGGAGCTTTGATTGCAGCACCGATCAAGCTGCTACCGGTTATGTAGATCCGCCTGAGATAACAGTAATACGCAATTAGAGATAGAAGGCGCCGAAACGAGGAAAGGTAGACAACAAAATCGAAAAACGAGCTTGAAGAAGGACGAAATGGAATACCAGGCTGCTCCGAGGACAGAGACGCCGATGGATATGGCAATGCCGACGGCGGAGAAGGTGTAGGGGGAGATTCAGACGAGCGCGTCGGAGCAAGAGCTTAGATCTCCGGCCATGCTCGAGGGCGACATTGTTGATCGGTCTTTCTGATGAACGTCGAAGATTCCGGCTGATTTGAGTCCCCCAGTGCTACCAGGCGACAACCCGAATAACATTTTTTTTTTCTTTTTTTTCAATCATTATTTAAATTATTTCCATAAATAAGAAATTATATTAAAGTTGAGGACTAAATAAATACAAATTAAATTTGTAATTTAATCTTCTATTTTCATCAACATTTTCAAAAATAAATAAAAATTATGTGATGGTTAGTTGTAATGAATTCGGTAAATTATGCTACCTAAAAAATTTAATAAATTATTGTTGCTTATCGAACTAAAGCTTTCATAGTTCAGTTGGTTGGAGCACCTGTTTAGTAAGCGAGAGGTCTTGAGTTCAATTTCCAAGCAATAGACTCGGGTTCGACTCCCGACAAATGCAATTTTGAGCTTCAATTTCACTATCACGGTAACTCAATATAATTTTGAACTTCATTCCCTTCCAACGGTTAGGATACCGTGTCCAGGTCTTTGCTCACAGTCACTATCATTGTAACTGTAGCGTTTGTAGTCCAACGGTTAGGATAATTGCCTTCCAAGCAATAGACCCGGGTTTGACTCCCGACAAACGCAATTTGAGCTTCAGTTTCACTATCACGGTAACTCAATATAATTTTGAACTTCATTCCCTTCCAACGGTTAGGATACCGTGTCCAGGTCTTTGCTCACAGTCACTATCATTGTAACTCTAGCGTTTGTAGTCCAACGGTTAGGATAATTGCCTTCTAAGCAATAGACCTGGGTTCGACTCTCGGCAAACGCAATTTGAGCTTTAGTTTCACTATCAAGGTAACTCAATAAAATTTTGAACTTCATTCCCTTCCAACGGTTAGGATACCGTGTCCAGGTCTTTGCTCACAGTCACTATCATTGTAACTCTAGCGTTTGTAGTCCAACGGTTAGGATAATTGCCTTCCAAGCAATAGACCCGGGTTCGACTCCCGGCAAACGCAATTTGAACTTCAGTTTCACTATCACGGTAACTCAATACAATTTTGAACTTCATTCCCTTCCAACGGTTAGGATACCGTGTCCAGGTCTTTGCTCACAGTCACTATCATTGTAACTCTAGCGTTTGTAGTCCAACGGTTAGGATAATTGCCTTCCAAGCAATAGACCCGGGTTCGACTCCCGGCAAACGCAATTTGAACTTCAGTTTCACTATCACGGTAACTCAATACAATTATGAACTTCATTCCCTTCCAACGGTTAGGATACCGTGTCCAGGTCTTTGCTCACAGTCACTATCATTGTAACTCTAGCGTTTGTAGTCCAACGGTTAGGATAATTGCCTTCCAAGCAATAGACCCGGGTTCGACTCCTGTCAAACGCAATTTGAACTTCAGTTTCACTATCAAGGTAACTCAATACAATTTTGAACTTCATTCCCTTCCAACGGTTAGGATACCGTGTCCAGGTCTTTGCTCACAGTCACTATCATTGTAACTCTAGCGTTTGTAGTCCAACGGTTAGGATAATTGCCTTCCAAGCAATAGACCCGGGTTCGACTCCCGGCAAACGCAATTTGAGCTTTAGTTTCACTATTAAGGTAACTCAATACAATTTTGAACTTCATTCCCTTCCAATGGTTAGGATACCGTGTCCAGGTCTTTGCTCACAGTCACTATCATTGTAACTGTAGCGTTTGTAGTCCAACGGTTAGGATAATTGCCTTCCAAGCAATAGACCCGGGTTTGACTCCCGACAAACGCAATTTGAGCTTCAGTTTCACTATCACGGTAACTCAATACAATTTTGAACTTCATTCCCTTCCAACGGTTAGGATACCGTGTCCAGGTCTTTGCTCACAGTCACTATCATTGTAACTCTAGCGTTTGTAGTCCAACGGTTAGGATAATTGCCTTCCAAGCAATAGACCCGGGTTCGACTCCCGGCAAACGCAATTTTGAGCTTCAGTTTCACTATCAAGGTAACTCAATACAATTTTGAACTTCATTCCCTTCCAATGGTTAGGATACCGTGTCCAGGTCTTTGCTCACAGTCACTATCATTGTAACTCTAGCGTTTGTAGTCCGGTTAGGATACCGTGTCCAGGTCTTTGCTCACAGTCACTATCATTGTAACTCTAGCGTTTGTAGTCCAACGGTTAGGATAATTGCCTTCCAAGCAATAGACCCGGGTTCGACTCCTGTCAAACGCAATTTGAGCTTCAGTTTCACTATCAAGGTAACTCAATACAATTTTGAACTTCATTCCCTTCCAACGGTTAGGATACCGTGTCCAGGTCTTTGCTCACAGTCACTATCATTGTAACTCTAGCGTTTGTAGTCCAACGGTTAGGATAATTGCCTTCCAAGCAATAGACCCGGGTTCGACTCCCGGCAAACGCAATTTGAGCTTCAGTTTCACTATCAAGGTAACTCAATACAATTTTGAACTTCATTCCCTTCCAATGGTTAGGATACCGTGTCCAGGTCTTTGCTCACAGTCACTATCATTGTAACTCTAGCGTTTGTAGTCCAACGGTTAGGATAATTGCCTTCCAAGCAATAGACCCGGGTTCGACTCCCGGCAAACGCAATTTTGAGCTTCAGTGTCACTATCACGGTAACTCAATGCAATTTTGATCTTCATTCTCACTATGAGGATAGTTGCCTTGTTCGGTAGTCTATGTAACTCCCAACGTTTCCCAAAACCACACTGTCTACATATAAGCATCACACTTGCAGCCCCGCTCGTCCTTATTTGTTAGACTATTTCTTCGAGAAATAAACATCAGAGATAATGGCTACAATGGAGAAACTGACTCCGATGTGCTTTAGGTTTAGCGAGCTTGATTCTCGCAATCGAACTCGGCGGGCGACGTCTTCGGTTCCGGTGAATCTCTGGCTCTCGAATCGCCGCCGCAACTGGTCGATTCTAGGCGTGTGAAGATCTCGAGATGGAGCGACAAAAGACAATGCGCTTCATGGAGAGCCAATTCGCTCGAGATCATCGTGCCCTGAGAGCCTCCCGAGGCCGTCGCAGCGCCGGAAGTGGAAGGCAATCGCATATGCTCCGGCAATTCAAGTAACTTCTTCTAAAATCATCTCCAAATACTGTTTCTCTCTATAAACATCTCCAAATCACATCAATGGCGACTTGCCGATCGCTATGATCGACGTGAATAATTCTCTGTATAGGCAAAATTGAACAAAAGATTTGAAATGTAATGCAGCAGTACAGATTGGCTTTATTCAGAAGGCGTTGCTGTAGTACATGCAGTACAACATTATCTTATTTTACCGAAGTGGCATGAAAGGCTAAAACTACCATTTTAACCTTAGTAACAAAATGACCAAAATACCCTTGGCAGAAAGAGTGCTTCTATGATATATTGTATCTTATTAGGGGCAAGAAAGGTCTAACAATAATTTCCTCTACTTGTCACAATATATAATATGGGAAATTTTATAGCAAGCTTTGAAGCAATGTATAATGAGAATGCTGCTGATGAAATTGGACTTAACAACACAAGATTTTCCACTATAAATCCCTTTACCCCTAAGTTTTGGGTACTGACCTCTTGCTGCATGATGATCATCCTGGTCGGTTGTTGCGAACAAAAGGCACGAGAATGGTGACGGTTGGACGGGGATGGAACGAAAGCCATCGTTGTCGTATAATCGACTTCTATTTGCAAAAACAAGCAACTGATAGACAAAAATGGCAATGAGATTGATTCTCACAGCAATCTTACGACTCGTCTCTCTTTTTACGGTTCTCGGGTCTCTTTCGCTGCACGATCACCAACAGCTACAGCCAGGATGTTGGTTTTGGTTTGTCAATTATAATGTATAAAGGGCATTAAATTGAACCTATAAATGAAAGACTGCAACAGAAGTTCTAATGCTAATGATATTACAGAGTCTTATCGTCCAACCTGGAAACTAATTGTAACAAAACTTGGAGACTATACGTATAGCAATATACTTTGTTGTTGATCATAATTAATTAGATAATTCGATCTCGTTATAAGTTAGAATCACCTGCTTGCGTCGAGATAGGAATATCGCCGACTCCTCGACTGGTGGATATCAAACTATGAAATAACTTTCCATGAGCTGATTCCTGGTCACTAGATATCCCAGTTACATTCAGTTTAGGTGCCAAGGTTGTTGACCAAGATCCCCCATTTGATCCTGCTAAGGCCATTATAATATCAGCCTGAAAAATATGCAGCAGCAACCACCAAGATTAATGGACAATTAACAGAAAAAAAAAAAAAGAATTTCTCCATGAGTAAAGTCATCTTACATTCAAGTGATTAAATATGCATACATGATTCTTCCTTATAAAGCTTGGTCGGGTGCTCGAGATGGATATATACTCTAAAACGAAAAGTTTTCTCTAACAAAGATGTGGAACAAAATTTATACGGTTAGGAATCACGACTCTCCACAATGGTATGATATTATCCACTTTGAGCATAAGCTCTCATGGATTTGTTTTGGGCCTCAAAAGGTCTCATATCAATGAAGATCTATTCCTTACTTATAAACCCATGAGCGGAAATAGCCAATGTGGGACTCCTTCCCAACGATCCTCGAACATATACATGCTTCTTGACTTGTAATTAAATGATTATTTCACTAATGTATGTTGCCACTTGCTCATTTGATTCAAAATTTTATCATAGCCAAAGTCGACGAGTGTTTATGAAGCATGCACGGTAAGCTTATCCGTTCAAAAGTTCGAGCAAACACGAAAAATAGTATAAAGAATACTTTTGAACCAAGAAGCCATTGCGAGATAAGAAAACTACCTTGTTTGGATGGACATCGTCAAAAACATGAGCTTGACCACCATAGAAAATAGTCATCTGTCTGTTGTTAGAATCAACACCCTGCTGACTGCCACAATAGATTGTTTAACAAGCAACCACTCTTAGACTCCATTTTGTATCGAATAGACCCTTAAACTTTCAATTTTTTAATCTAATGGATCTATACAACGTATACAAAATTTGATCATTTTATGTCTAATAGAACCTAAAAATTCAATTTTATGTTCGGTAGATACATAGATTTCAAAAGTGTGTAATAAAATTTAAAAACTTAATAGCATGAAATAAGAGTTTAAGAATCTATTACTCACATTTTAAAGATCGAGACGACCAAACACAAAAATTGAAAATTCAGAAATCTATTAGACATTTTTCAACGTTCCAAGGTCATATACATACACACCGAAACTAGTATTCAGAAACATATTTTAGTTTTTGAAAATTTGTTAAGAACTCAAATTTACTTAAAAGAAAGATGAAAATGATGCTAAGAACAAACACAATTTTCAATGATGTGGTCTGGAATTTACCTTGGAGGGTTCGAAGATTTGTATGCTAAACCTTCAGTCTTGGTTTTCTGCTTGTCACAACCTAGCAACATCTTATATGAGTGCATCCCATCGTGTCCGCCATTAAAGCTACTTAGAAGTCCAGGGGTTTTCATCCCAGTTCTAGATCCTTCATCAGCAGCAGACTGAGAAATACTGGAAGGAGAAACATTAAAATCTCTGGAAGAATTGGAAGCTACTTGATGAACACGCGGCACATACTGACTCCCAAGTGGAGAATTTGGTGCAAAACTCATGTTCAACGGAATAGGCCTCTCCCATTTGGAAACGCTAGGATTAGATCTAGTGCCAGGAGAGAGTTGTGTGAGTGAAGAAGAAGCAATTCTTGGTGGCTGCATACTGTAAACCGCATCATTATCGTTGTATCTTGGTCGATCTCCACCAGCTCCGTTTTGTAGAATCTGATGAAGTTTAAACAAAATTATAAGTGCTTTTCACTTCCATGAAAGTTTACATGAGAATCAGAGGCTTACATGAGGAATTTGGTTTCTATATGACTCCATGAAAGCAGAATCTGGATTACTTCGTTTGATCCCTGCTATTCGGTTTCTATTTTCAGGTCCAGAAATTTCATTCCTCGGACTGTAGAATGGAACTCCTTCAAGATAATCTCCCACCTGATTTTCTATCGATCACGAAGAGAGGAACAGAGTAAATCTTACGTCATATGAGAATCAAGTAAGCAAATAATCACAGAAAGGATTCAAGATCAAATATATCAATAAGTTGAGTACAAGCTTGAAAGATGAAATCAAAATAAAGCATGCGCGTCACTTTGTTCTGTTCATGGAGAAATGTTCAAGCTGAATGAAATTTCTGGCCTGAGTAGGGAGAAATTAACAATGGAGAAAGGAAGATTCTGGAAAATTAACTGTAGTTTCCATCTCAGAATAGCACTTAGTGTTGAGAAGAATGAACGAAAAAGAGGTATTTCAGAAAGCTTGTAAACAATGGTGACCTCACAGAAACCAATCCATTACACTTTACAGTGACATAAAGAGCAAAGGGAAAGAGGATTGCAGACAGAAATTCTACGTTTGCAGGAAGAAAAATTTAATAAAACCACGAAAGTCAATTTTAAACAGAAAAGATGAGTTCACACATGAAAATCAATATTTTATAATCAAAAGCTGCCTACTCAAAAATTCAACCAAAAATGAACAAACATCCTCAATGAGGATTGGATAAGCATCGAGAAGACGATAATGATCGGGATATTCATCAAAACAAAAGGAAAATCAACAAATTTCGGAGTCATTCAAGCCAAAAGAAGAAGCAATTCAACAAAATCATTCAAACAGAAACCAGGACACACTAAATAACCTAGAAAAAAGCAAATTCAAGACGGCGATTGTTAACAAACAGCTCAGAAGCAAGATCGGAGGCGGAGGAGAGGAGTTCACGGCCACAGCTAGAAGAAGCCAAGGCCAACGGCGGCGTCGATGCCGCTGACAAACTTACATCCGGCGTCTTCGCTGACAAAAGTTCAGAGGCATCTTTGGTCCTGATGACAAGAAAATCATGGAAGATCGCATTACCTAGCTGTTGAACCTGTCTCGTACTCTTCTCCTCCTCACCATTGCTGCAGTAGCCAGCATTGGAATCGGCGCCCTGACGAGCCATTAGAGACAGAACCACAAGCAATGCCTCTTCACGAAAGCATCCATTTCACTCTGCATAAAGAGCAAGAGTGTAGAGAAAAACAAAAGACAGGAAACTCGGTTTTTGGAAAGAAACATACAGAAAAACAAAAAGGCAAAAAGAATCAGAAGAGAGAGGAAACTGAAAGAATCAGGCTCTTTTCTCGAGATAAAGAGCAGAGAAAAGCATCTTGAGAAACTTTCCGACGCCGGCGCCGGTGAGGGATTCAGTTTCTTAACTTCATCGGATTCTGATTAAACAATGAGAAATTCAGTGAGTTTGTTGGTTTGTAGCTCGCCGTCAACAATTTTGTTGCGCGAGAACCAAAAATTGAACCGGCGTCGAGCTCATCAAAATCACATGGAGAAAGGAATTGTTCAGAGAAATATCAATGATGCTAAGTGTTGAACGATGAGAGCAGCTCCTTCCACTTGGAAAAGAAATCGAGATCAATCCAATTATCCAACTTTCAGAAAATTTAGTGTTTGATTTTTGGCTATTTGTATTTAAAATAGTTTAAATTAATAAAAAAAAATATTATAGTTTCATTAATACTTTTATTTTTTTTTAAATAAAAAATATTATAATTTTGAAGGAAAACATTAAAATTTTATTTAACAAATATATTTAAACTTTGAATGTATTAAAATGAACTTCAAAAATATCCTTCATCTTTAAAAATTAAAAATTAAAAAATACTTTTTAAGATTAATAATATTTTAAAAATATATCCATAAAATTTTTAAAATAGATAGAGAATATGAGTAGACGGATAACGACCCCATGCCCGGATTCGAATCATTCGCATGTCACGGGTCCTTCCAACATGTTTTGTTTTGTTGTTACTCGCATATGTTCTAAAAAAAAATTCTAAAAGATCACCCAAGTAAATAGCGTTTAACCATTGAGTTTCTATGATTGATCACCACCAAATTGTTCACAGAGTTCACATACGCTCATTTCCTCTGTCACGAGATGTTTAATACAACATTATGTTTCAGATTCGAAATCCCCACTTTGAGGTGGTATGATATTTAATCCAAAAGGATAAGAGCGAACAATAGTTCGAGAAAAAAAAATTTGTAATTATAATCAAAAGGCAAAGCATGACTCGATTGAAGATTACTAAAGCTAATAATTAACTAACACAATCGAACTTAGAATCTAAACCCTTCTAAAAAGTTGGGAAATTGTACTTCAGACCCAAGCAAATTAGTTGCAAAGAACTTGAAAAAGGAGATGATCTTACAAGGAACCATAGAAAAACGATTCAAAGAGGCCGTTTACGCGTAAATTCAGAAATCTATTAAACACGTGGTAACTATAACAAGTAAATTCAGAAATCTATTAAACACGTGGTAACTATAACAAGCAAACTGAAGTATTACATGTGCTTTCGTGTCTCTGAGCGTAGTCAGCACAGAGTGTTCTCGAGCATGGAGGCTTGCACTTATTCGCATTAGTTCATCCAAAGATCGTTAACATTGTGCACGAGCAAAGTTAAGGAATCAATTGAATACTCCGATCGAATCAGAGAGCGCGCAAATTGACAAAGCTCCCCTTGACATTGCTAATGGACAATGATGCAATTCAACAGAGTTCGGTTGCAAAAGCAGTTCCCAACAATTGTGGGTTTCATCATCATTCTGTTGAAAAACCTTGCTTTTCAGCAACACTCACATTTGTCATGTGCTTGAATAATTCAACACTTCCATCCTTGTTTTTCTCTCTGCCTAGCCAATTTTGGTCCCATGATCTGACTTCATAGTTGAAATTCAGCAAATGGTTTATGATTCGGATTACAGATATGAGAAACAAAAGAGATTTAGCAAAATGAAATGCGAAAATCAGAGTTGAGGATTTGGATTACAGTGTTGTTCTTGAACGGCTCAAAAGTCGATCGCCAACCGTCTACTTGTTCTTCCTTTGACAACTCGAGCGAAATTACGTTCTGTTCCACATTCAAATTTCATCTGAATTCTTGAAAGCTCTTCGTTCAATTACAAATAATCCTCTAAGCTGATCCATTTGTTGGAGTTTCTCCAGAGATTCCTGTGGAAAAATTATGTAGCTCAAGTCATCTTGTGCTCGGATAATGAACAGAGAAAAATTTAGGTATATGGATTCAAACATTCAGGGATTGGATTTCTTCTTGACATCAATTATCGATCTATTTGCACTAAATACAGCATTTTCAGATGGAATTCTGCGTTTGACAAGCACTCTAGGGTTTATACAGACCTTCAACATTTCAGACATTGCCACAGCTTTACGAACAATAGATGTTCTTCTAGCACGGAGAGATTCGGCATTTTGATTATACATATCAGGTAACAATTCCTCGACAAATATTGAGAAACAATTCCTCGACAAATCCTCGACAAATCAAAAAACAATTGTAGAAGACAATTCCTCGAGAAACAATTTCAGATGGAATTCATCGTGCAATCTGCAGAAAGCAAGATATTGAGAAACAATTCCTCGACAAATCGTGTAAAATTCTTCAAACTTATGCATCTTACAAAGCATATAACCTTCAAACTCCCTCCACTTCGCAATCACGTTGATGAGGCAGATAACAATGTCTCGTAGGAACAGAATAAAATCCAACAGGCTCGAACTTGCGAGTACAAGAACATGAGAGACGATTCGAAATGATCGAAAACAGCTTTCAACAGCCTCGAACTCTCACGATTCCAGTCCGGTCCAAAGAGCAACGTGATCGGAAACTCATTCGGCGCATACCTTGCTTCGAATTTCGGAGTAAGAACAAGGTTTTTTTTATGGATTAAGTTAAAGCTTTTTAATTAAATTTGATAAAAATAATATAACTTTAATATCGTATTTCTTCGAAATTCATTATATATTAAAGTTTAACCCAAGGTACAAATTTAATATTGACATAGAATTGTCACTTAATGTGACTTTATTATATCTCTAAACCTTAAATTATTGATTTTTATATGTAAGGTATTACTCAGTGTCTTATATCTCATTCGAAACAGAAACAAAACATTTTTTATAATGTCGTGGAAATCTCTATCTATGTGATGTCCCACAGGTTGGAAATGAGAATAAACGACTATTTATACGGGTGTGGAAACCTTCCCCTAGCAGACACTTTTTAGAGCCTTGAGGGGAAGCCCAAAAGGAAAGCTCAAAGAGGACAATATTTGCTAGCGGTGGATCTGGATCGTTACAAATGGTATCAGAGTCAGAGACCGGACAACGTGTCAGCCTTCTCGCTGTTCCCCGAAGGGGAGTAGACACGAGGCAGCATGCTAGTAAGAAAGTTGGGCCTCAAAGGGGGTAGATTTGGGGGTGGTCCCACATCGATTGGAGGAAGGAAAGAGTGCCAACGAGGACATTGGCTCTAAAGGGGGGTGGATTGTGATGTCCCACGTTTGGAACAACCCACCATTTATAATGGTGTGGAAACCTTCCCCTAGTAGACGCATTTTAAAACCTTAAGGGGAAACTCGAAAGGGAAAGCCCAAATAAGACAATATTTGCTAGCGGTGGATCTGGGTCGTTACACCCTAGTAGACACGTTTCAAAACTGTGAGACTAATGTTGATATATAATTGGCTGAAGCGAACAATATCTGCTAGCGGTGGACTTAAGCTGTCACAAATGGTATCGACACTGAGCGGTGTGCCAAAATAGGACGTTGAGCCCCCAAGAAAGGTGGATTGTGAAATCCAGACCAAACATTATTTTTGTTTCCTTTAATATTTATTATAATTGTAAATAATCACTCATTTTTACTATTTTCCCTCTTATTTTATTAAATAGTTTTATACAAATAATTAAATTTTATCAACAAGCCCAATTTTGTTTTTATTTCATAAATTTAAAATTTATCATGGATAAAAAATATTCCAATTGAATCTATTTATAAAAATTAAATAAAATTATTAGAAAAAATACTGAAGGTTTAATAAAATAAAGTTTGAACGAAAAATTATTTAATTTATCACAAATTAATTATTTAAATAACTTTGTTAATGTTTATTCAAATTGATATAATCTTACAATTTTATATTAAATTTAAATTTTTGTCATTTAATTTATTTACTTCAAGTATCTAAATTTAGTTATATATATTTTAATTAGCTTACCTTATTTTATAATGAGATTAAAAGAGATATAATTTTTTTTATAAATATAAGCAGCATTTATAAGCTTACTTTTAAAAAATAAAATAAGAAAGATTTTGTTTTTTATTTTTAAAAAATTACCATAATTTTCTATTATTTTTTCTTCTGAAAATAGCAAAATTAAAATAATTATTTGTTAAAAAATTTAAAATTTGGTATAAAAAAGTAAATAAAGTTGTAAAAAAGAGCTTAAATATTAATAAATAAATAAATAAATAAAAGGAAAATGGAACTGGCAAGCAACATTCTGGAAGTCAAGGGAAACGGAAAATAAAATAGCGCGAGGATATATTTAAATAAAATATTTTAATAATATAAAATTATTGCATTTATTATTTTAAATATATATTTTTTTAAAATGGAAGTTCAAACTGTACCTTCGTCTCCCGCTCACGCTCCTTTGACGCTCTCCACTCTATATTTATCTCTCTCATTTCGCAATGGTTCTCTCTCTCTGTCCAAAGCTCAGCTTCTCCCGCTCTTTCTCTGTAATTCTGCTGAGAGCTCTGTAGACCGCCATTGGAGGACGTGGAGCTCTTGTCAGCCTGTAAGCTCAAGCTTTGTATTGAGATTGTTTTGATCTCTTTCTCTGAATTTTACGAGTATTTATTTTGTGTGTTTAAACGTTTGTTTGGATGTTTTAGCGGTTTCGAAACTATGATGAAGGATGATTATTGTGGACGTTTCGATTTACTTGGTTTTTGTGCATGGCCTGGATCCACAACGCCGATTTTCGTTTTATTTAAGTGTATTGAGAAATCTAGCTTACGTTTAATGATCTGGCCTTTGTCTTTCCGTTTAAATCATGCGGATTCTTGAGCTTACTTCTTGATTTCTTGTTGTTGCGTCCATGTTCTTCGTTTTGGTGCCGGAAATTTGATTTATCAAGTTTTTGGAAGCGAGAGTGTTTTCTTCTTCCCTGTTTCATGGGCGGCGATGGCGAGAGGATTTGTATTGGGTGGGTGGGGGTAGGGAGAGGAGAGATAGGAAGTTTTGTACGGTGCAGGATAAAAATAAACATATAAGGTTTGCACCTCGGGCTGTCGTGATGTCTAATGTTTATGATAGTTATTATCTATGTTCGTAAGCTTGTTTGAAAATGTAGAAGGTACTCGAAACGATCTTTCGTTTGCCTTTTATTTGCACTGTAACAGCTTCATCACTTAGCCATAGAATAAATCACGGATCGAGTGTCATAGCAGTTATGCACGTTATTGAAAATTTTCTCTAGAAGTGTCATCACTTAGCGATCGTTCTTACCCGTTTATTTTATGTTGGCTATGCAGCTTCAAGGAAAATGATTTTTGATCTTCTGTAATGAACCGCTGGTCTTCAAGGCAGTAGAAATGAGTATCGTAAACGTTAATTTTCAAGTTGAAGATCGCTCTGGTAGAATCACGAGAGCACGGGCAAAAGAATTAAGCGAATCAGGAGACGTTCCATGCTCCTCAAAATCTTCTGGAGTTCAGAAGCATATTGTACGAGCTAACTCAAAAAGAGTGGCATCTGATGATATTAATATTTGTTCTATTTGTTCAATTTCTTCCAGTGGCCTTCCTAATAAAAGAAGAGCAGTGCTCAAGGATGTGACTAACATTTCCACCAAAGGTTCTGATAAGAATTGCAGAAATGCTTCTAATATTCAGGTGAACTTGAATCTTTGACTTATGTTTTGTTGTTTCTTTGTGAAATGTTGATGTGACTCATGCTGGCGCTGTCGATATAGGCAATTCTTAACTGCTAATGACCACGGTTTGACAGGGTGACAAACCAACTAGAAGAATTTCTGCTAAAGCTAAGGCAAATGCGCCTTTAAATGCTCCTGTAGAAATTCTAGGAGCAGAAGAAGATGAAAACACAAGATTAGCTGAGGACTTATCTAAAATAAGGGTGGTAGAATCGCGAGAGGTCTCTTTAAGAGAAACTCTTTGTCACACCAGCGGAGAATGTGGAGTTTTAGATATGGTTCTCTCTGTATCTTCAGAAGAATCTATCCCTCAGCCGAATGGTATGCAACTTCTCTAAAATTACAGTGACTTTGTATTTGTTGTCTTTATGCACTATGGTTTGAACTTTGAAGAATGGATGATTAATTCTAAACTTCTTTTTTCCTTCTTTTGGAAAAAGAATTGACCTACAATTTGATGCTCAGTCTGCTGCAAGAACTGTATCTGCAATGTTTGTGGTAGAGCACAATTAATTAGCTCGCAGAATGTTCTAGTTTTGTAGGAAAATTGAACATCATACAAAAATTTAATGGAAATGTGTCCTTCATGAAGTGAACTGTTAATCATCAATTCTATTGATAGCATTATGTAAATAATGTCAGTGGCAGTTGAACATCATATTAACGTAGCATATAAGCATTGCGGCCTTGAATTAGCAAGGAGAGACAGTGATACCATTGTAAAATTTTGCAGAAAAATATATGGCATCTGAACAATCGGCAGCATCAAGTGATACAGGTGTTATAGACATTGATTCAAACACCAAATGTCTTCAATCATGCAGCATATATGCTCCAGACATATATGACAGAATACGTGTGACGGAGGTTTGTATTAAGGACTTGCCGTTCACTATTGGCCATTGTTACATTGACATAGTTAATACAGATGCTGCATTCATCTAAGGCCATCGGTCATAATTAGTAAAAGGGAAATAAGAAACTTCTGACTATAGGGTCGTCCATTAGTAAAAAAAAAATATAGACGAGAGGATGCCCATGTCACAATTGCACTTTTCTTGGCAGCGAATTTGACGATTGTGCAGTACTCACTCAACACTGAGCGAGCCAAGCCAACTTAGGATCTGGAGACGGTGACATTCTGCTTTGTATTGTCTCTTTCACCTGAAAGTAGATTTTCTAAAGTGTAAAGGGAAATATGAAACTTCTGAAATTATTAGGAAGCAGCTGAATTGGTTCTTTGAAAGAAACACTTTAGATGATTGCAGTTTATATAAAAATGACTGATTGACGCTTTTAGCTGAATTTTTTCTACTATTTTCAGCTTGATCAAAGGGCCTCAACTACCTATATGGAACAGTTGCAGCAAGATATCACTGCAGACATGCGAGGAATACTGGTTGATTGGCTTATAGAGGTCCGTTTCATCACTGTTGCAGCTTTAATTTGACCAAATTGATATGTTATAGTGATGAACTTGCATAAAGACACGAAGTTGACAAAAATCCTTTACATGGGATAATAGAACGCTTTGAATTCATTTTTTTTAGTTTAGTTTTATTTTTAATGAAATGCTTACTATTAGTTTTCTGACCATTACATGGCATACTCGTCTATACTTGTGCTGTAAATACCAATGTGCTTGGAATAGTTAAACAAAAATATTTTGTCAATGTCAATTTTGTTGATGATCAACTCTTTTTTCAGGTTTCTGACGAATACAAGCTGGTTCCAGATACACTCTACCTCACTGTGAATGTTATTGATCGGTTTCTCTCTCGAAATTGTATTGAAAGAAAGCGTCTCCAGCTTCTCGGTGTTGCAAGCATGCTAATTGCATCGTAAGTTTTGATCAGACCTTTCGTACAAATATCCACTAGAGAAATTAACTCATGTAGAAGCTTTGTCAGAGGGAACCATTATTTA